GAAACGGAGAATGTGGTGGGGTCCCTTTAAGAAGGTATTTTGCCTACAGAAACATTTTCTTTACATTTTACATTTTATTACTTTTATTGATTAATTTAAAACTCACTTCTTCCCTCTCTCCTCAGACCGTCTATAGATAGTTAGTGAGTAGGCAATTTACAATCATCAAAGGCATATGGTTGCATGTTGTAGTATTAGATAGATGGATGTATTGGTTATTTGTCCATAACTAAACATCTGCATACCACACACACTTACATATCCTGGCACACACATGGCAAACCACAATTACTTATTCACACTTGCCAAGTTTAACATTCAAATAGCCTTAGACACAATGTATGCCTATGCAGAGGGAAGCAGAAACCCGAATACACACATAGACACACACACTGACACATTTAAACGCACTTCCTGCAATAGTAGAAGCAGCATAGTCGGGCTAGATTATCTAAAGGATATTTTACATTATATTAACAGTTTGAATCTTGCAGAATTTAATGTTTATTATTCTTAACACAAAGTTGAAGACCACACATACATAGATGAGAGATATGTATATGTGTGCACTTGTATGTATGTCCACTTTGTTACTAACATCTTTCATTAAGTATTTATTTAGTTGATGGTTAAAGAGGACACATACAAACACATCAACTCCTTGATGGTCATACCTATAGTATTTATTCTATCTATCTATGCCCTCCGATCCATTGTGTTGACATAATACGAAAGTAATTAATTTTAATTTGCTTCTTATCCAATAGGGTATCGTTAGTTAGTTGAAGGTGATGAAAAGGGTGTATTGCTAAAGATATTCCCCCTAAATAGGAATCAGTAGAAAATAGTCAGACCTCAGTTTCTGAGGTATTTTTTATATAGAAAATAATCAGAACTCTGTTTCTGAGGTATTTTTTTTTCTATTGACAAAATCAGACCTCAGATTCTGAGGTATTTTTCTATAGAAAAAAATCAGTTTCTGAGGTATTTTTTTTCTATTGAAAAAAATCAGACCTCAGTTTCTGAGGTATTTTTTTCTATAGAAAAAATAAGACCCCAGTTTCTGAGGTATTTTTTTCTATGGAACAAATCTGACCTCCGTTTCTAAGGTATTTTTTTCTATAGAAAAAAAATCAGACCTCTGTTTCTGAGGTATTTTTTTTTCTATTGGAAAAATGAAACCTCCGTTTCTGAGGTATTTTTTTCTAAGGATAAAATCAGACATCGGTTATTGAGGTATTTTTTCCACATAAAATATTTAATAACTATCGGTGACAGTCACCATCTCCCAATTGCGATAAATGAATTTTTCGCCAACACTTATTGTCACCGGAAGTAGTTTCACTACGTTTCACATATACCCTTTTCATCGGAAAAGAAAGATGATGGTGCAAAAAGGACAACAATACAATACACTCACACACATATATAAATTACAATATTCTTCCTTCCTTCCGTTCACATACAGACCAACAAAAACAAAATATAAAATCGAAATGGCAAAGTGTCAGTTTGAGTGTGTGTGTGTACTTGAGCACATTGACACATTCCCTGGTGGTTGCACACAAGGCGTATGATTAATGTGGTATTGTTCATACGCACCATGGGTTGTGTGGGGATGTGAATGAAAATGTTTTTTTTTTCTTTTTTTTAAATGGGGTCAAAGTATTTTTTGAGCATTTTTATTGAGTTTTTTGTTTTAAGAAAATTACCAAAGATTTGTCAATTTTTCTTCTAGAAGAAAATACATGTGTGGGTTCATAAATAGTTAACTATTGATAACTGTTTTATAGGATAGTAAGTTTTTACAAGAGCATATTTTTGAATATTTAAGAGGTGAATTTCCTTCATAAAAATAAAATGAAGTCAGAAATAAATATTTTCATAGATATCAAGTAAAAATAATTTGTACCTGATTCTCATAGCTAAGGCTATTTTTAAAAGTACATAATATATTTTTTCTAATTTTTATATTTTTCGAGATGAAAATATGCCTCTTCGCTCGAGGAATAGTACCTTCGAATTTACTCAAGACCTTTTTCATTTCAATTAATATTTAGCCTTCTTTAAATATTTTTATCTGGCCCTTGATAGTTCAGATTAATCACCAAAAAACCTAAATTCCACAGGAGAGCATATTTCCTTCATGATTAAAATTGTTCTATTAAGCGTTAACTGTATGAAAATTTCATTTTAAAAACAAATCGTATTTCTTGATATGTGATTTTCATTAACAAACTTATTTATGCGGCATGTTGTTTCTATGATACAGCCCGAAGTGGGGTGTCCCATAAATTTCAGCACCAGCTGGTGTTGTTTACACAGTAAAAAAATTCAATTTTAAAATCATTCAAAAAAAAAATCAATTTTAAAATCCTACCCTATCCACAACAAAAAATAAACGTGCAAAAGGCTAACACATTAACCCACATAAACATACTAAGAGAGAAGGTGGAAAGAGGGGGGAGGGACAAGAAGACAAAATGCATAAAAATATCCCTGCAGCCTGCTATCCAGTTAGCCATTATTTTGGTATTCTCCATGAGGTGATGGCATGTAGCTCGGCTCTAGCTCGAGCTCTATTTTTACACTATACGCTCTACAACAAATGAAACACTAATTGTTTGTGACATTTTTAACCCTAATGCCATTAATTATTGTCACCATAAATACTTTTTTGCCAGGCATGGTTCGTGTGTGGAGAAGTTGCTGCATGGATTACAACGATTTGGGTTTTACTCACCCAGCCGGAGTGTTGGTCTATGTGACTCCTTAAGTCCTTGTTGTTTTTACATCAGTCGCAGCCCATGGTGGCTGGAAAGTTGTTGTTACCCTTATACTCCCTAATATGACCCTTCCACCCTTGAGCAACTTCCTAAAGGGGGCATTTAATGAAACGGGTCATTCTAGGGGAGAAAATATTTTCCACATTGGTGGGGCTTTGCAACTAACAAATATTCTGAAAGAAACCTACCACAACAGGAAATTTTTAAGTTTCATTGGAATGATATATTTATTTGGTTGAATGTTCCTTGTTTTGTACTATTCCAAACTTCACAAATTAACTTGTGTACAACACGGAAACGGAAATAAACGAAAACTTCTTGAAGGGTAAAATGTATTCAAATTGTGTAGAAGGTTAAATTTATGAACTTATTTAAAGGTCAGTTACCTTTAGAAGAAAGTTAATAAAGAATGTAAAGTAAAACATTCTTTTTGAGGAAATATTCTCAAGAAACCGTTTCAGAGGAAGATTAAAGTTTGTAGAAGATAGAGAAAATCTCCTCTTCCCGAAAAATCCCGAAAAAAAATCATTTTTTGTTAGAAACAATTGCTTTTTAGTAGAACAGTTACTTCTAAGAATAAGTGCTCGGGCCTGTGGAAAGATTATGTTCTTTAGAAAAAAATTCTTGAGAAAATATCAATGACTTTTTCATTAGTGAATATATGTGGGAGCTACATCTATATCGAAACCCATTTAAAGAAAAATAGAAATAAATTGCAAAAAGTCGTGTCAATCGAAAAGAACGTATGGTTTTTAGTGCACAATGTGATTAAAATCGATTAAAAACTATATGGGAGGTATATCCAAATCTGAAACGATAAAAAAGTCAGTGCACTTCATTCTAAACTTAAAGGTTTTATTTGAAGAATATTTTTGAGGGACCCCAGCAAGGCGTGGATCTTTAAAGACAAATTTGTTAAAGAATACTTTTCAGGGACCCATAAAAGGCGGGGATTTGTTAAAGAATATTTTTAAGGGTGCCCTGCAATGCGTGGATTCTATAAAGAATATTTTTTGATGGATCCCTAAAAGTTGGGACTTTTTTAAAGAATATTTTTAAGGGTGCCCTGCAATGCGTGAATTCTTTAAAGAATATTTTTAAGGGATCCTTACAATGCATGGCTTTTTTAAGGGACCCACACAATTTTTTAAGAAATTTATTTTTCAAAGGAGTAAAGAATTGGTGTTTTTTTAACGAATACTTTTACAGTCAACAACAATCTGATTAAAATATTTACCCCCAAAATTGCTTCAATTAGTTGCCTGCCTAAAGTCCCTCCCATGATTGGTCTGCGTGCAGGATAACAACAAAAGCCAGAACAACTGCTTTAGTGGCTGTGAATTGGTTCGAATATTAAGGATAATGGAGAACGTGCTCATAAAGGTGTTATATCCCGCTGTTTACTTATTGTGGCAATTTAGGGAGCGGTGTTGGAAAAGTGCGGGTCTATTCTAGTCGTTCACACAAAGGAATCATAAAATTCAACAGCCCTAACAATTATACAGATAATAGAATTAAATTGTTAGGAAGTCAACATGATAGAAGGAGGTATGAGAGAATTCGGTTTCGGGTTGTTTAAAATAACATAAAGAATGGTAAAGAAAATAAAGACAGATAAATAATTTATTTTTCAGTTATTTAAGGAAGTGGGTAGGAAAAAATATTTGAAAAATATATTTAAATATTTCCCATATAAAAATAAAAAGCAGTTGATAAAATTACTGTTTTTATAAAAAAATATCTGATTTCCTTTTATAAAAAAATACATCAGAAATTGATATCCGATTTTTTTTTTTTAAATAACCCAGGAACTGAGGTCGGAAGTATTTCTATAAAAAATATCACAGAAACTGAGCTTCAAAAATACCTCAGAAATTGAGCATAAAATTTTCTATAGAAAAAAATACCCCAGAAACTGAGGCCAGAATTATTTCTATAAGAAATACACCAGAAACTGAGCTCCATTTTTTTCTATAAAAAATACTTTAGGAACAGTGCTCTGATATGTTTCTATTGAAAAAATGCCTCAGAAACTGAGCTCTGAGTTTTGTCTATAGAAAAAATAAATTATGTACTGATGTCGGAATTTTTCTATACATACCCTAGAAACTGAGGTGCGAATTTCTTTCTATGAAAAAAATGAGTCATACCTTATGTGCCATTTAATTTAATTAATAAATAATATATTAAATATAAATATTTTTTATAATAGTAAAAAATAACAACAAAAACAATTCACTTACTGCACTGTGCTTCATCCGATTTATCTTCACAATCCTCAGTCATATCACAACGGAAATGCGGTGGTATACAATAGGTCTTATTAAATACATATTGGCCGCAATTAATTTGACCGGCCTCACATTCAGGTGGTGCTGCAACAGGAAATGAAATTACAAGAATCGAAATGAAATTATATGGAAATGGAAAGTATTAAAAGGAAATCTCTCTCAACTTACGACACGATTGCTGTTCATCCTCGCCACCCTCACAGTCCTTTTGGTAGTTGCACACCCACAACGATGTTATGCATCTGCCATCATTGCAGCGAAACATACCGGGTGGACATGGCACATTTGGTGGCGCAAAAATACCGCCGCCAATGCTGCTGCCACCAGCAGCACCGGCACCATTGTGGCCAACACCATCACTGAAACCGATGCGTCCACCATCGGCTAAGCCACCTGAAATTAAATAAAACAGAAAAAAACAATGTGAATATGTTTTTTTTATTTTGAGAAATATTAAAAAAAACAGGGGATTTGATAAAAACAACAACAAATATTTTGTCAACTTATGTGACTGGAATTCTTACTGTATTGTTCGGTCATTAAGGGGGTTGGGTTGCTGGAAGGTTGCTGTGTGTAGTAGAGGGAAGAGATGGGGATGGAGAGTACACATACACACTCGTATAAGTCATGGGAATTTCATGGAGTGTATGCAAAACTGATTGCTTTGGTGATTTATTAAAATGTAAATCCTGACGACTGGCTAATGCCCTCGATACATAAAAACAAGACATAAAAATAACAAATAAAAATGTTCTATACAAAAAAACTTTTTTCTATAGGGAAAAATATTATCAGTGCACAGAAAATGAAAAATTGTTTGATTTAATTGACTTTTTTCTATAAAAAATAGGTGACTATAAAATAGCTGTCTATAAAAAATACCTCAGTTATCTGAGGATAAATATTTTTTGTAGTTTTTTTTTTGTTTTTTTTTTATGCAGAAAAAACTGAGGTCTGATTTTTTTATATGGAAAACAATTACCCCAATTTGTTTTATATAAAAAAATTGCCTCATAGAAGGTTCAAAGGTTTTTTCTATAGAAAAAAATACCAATTTTTTCAATACAAAAATATGTCAAAAAATGAGATCTGATATTTTCCTTAGAAAAATATCCCAGAAACCGGAATAAAAAACTATCCCAGAAACTGGGCTCCAAATATTTTTCTATAGAGAAAATACCTCTGGAACTGAGCTCTGATTTTATTTAGTAGAAAAAACATCTCAGAAATTGAGCTCTGATACCACAGAAACTGAGGTGAGATTTGTTTCTAATAAAAATATCCCAGAATATGAGTACCATTTTCTTTAGCAAAAAATAAAATACCTCAGAAATTGAGCTCTGATTTTTTTCTATAGAAAAAAATATATCAAAAACTGAGGTCTAATTTTCTTCTATAGAAAAAAAAATCAGAAACTGAGGTCGGAATTATTTCTATAAAAAATACCCGAGAAATTAAGCTCCAAAAAAATTAAAAAAAAAAATTACTGAGGTTCGATTTTTTATAGCAAAAAATAAAATACATCAGAAATTGAGCTCTGATTTTTTTCTATAGAAAAAAAATGCCTCGGAAACTGAGGTCTGATTTGTCTAAGTTGTTTTCTATAGAAAAAATATATCAGTGAAATGAAAAAAGCAAAAAAGCAAAGAAAAGCGCGATTTTCTTTCCTTAAAAAATATACCCCAGTGAAATGAGGTTCGACTTTTTTATAGAGAAAAATGTACCTCAGAGATCTGAGAACCGATTTTTTTCTGTAGAAAAAAATACCTTAGTGAACTGAGGAGTATATGGCAAAAATATCTCAGAGGTATATAAAATTGTAACTCAAATATATATGTATGTACAATTTTCCATACAAAAACATTAATGTTTTGGTGTATATATGTATTGGTAGTATTGTGTATTCCGTGTTATTGTTTAAGGACACTGTGCTTTTGCATAGTTGGATTACCATGGCTCTGTGTGCAATCTTCTCTTCAAGTGTTGCAAAAAAAAAAGAGTATTCCACTGATGGCCATAGTTTGTTATATTTTTTGGTGGTGTTATTGCAACCACACAACAACAACAGAATGAGAAGTTTTGTTTAAATTCCAAAAAAAGCCAATACATATAACGTAGAATAATAAACAAAAAATAACAAACGAACGGCGGAGACAAAACAATCACAGTTAAGTTTACAATATCACCATTACCAGCAGCAACTCCAACACCACCATAAAGTAGTTGCAGCAACAAAAACAACCTCACCATCATCAACAATAGTATTATTGCTGTAGATATGCCACAGTGGCTATATGTGCGTGTATGGGTGTGTATCTGTGTGCATTTTACAACATATCTGTTACGCTTTAAATAAAGTCATTCCATCTTCTGTGTATGTACGTTTACGAGATTTATTTATTTACACACACACATACAATTTCACATTGAACAAAGATTTGTGTGACAGTTTTCTTGTTTTTCGAATAGTTGACAGCGGGGTAGGAGGCGTAGGAATTTAACATAAAAAGACAACCGAACTTGTAAATAAAATAAAATCGATGGAAAATTCAAAAACCAAATTATATTCCTCCCTTCTCGTCTTTTGTCTTCTGTTGACAATCGTAAACAAAGCAAATTCTGTTATAGTTTTTTACGACTTCTTTTCTTTTTTGGAAAAGTTTACTTTTTGTTTTTGTTTTTCTTTACGATCTTTGCTTATTTCGGTTTTTTTTTTGTCTGGCAAATTTGTTGTCTTAGACAAAGATAACGCAATCAGTTTTTTGGTTTTCTTCTTTTTTGTGGGTTCTTTGCCAATTGAGTGAAAACAAAGTAGTTGGGAGGAAAATTGCATGAAATAAATCTTAAAATTACAAGAAGTTTTTAGTTTCTTCTTCTTATTTGTGTTAAAGAGATAATGTTGCCGATAAGTGAAGATTAAATAAAATTAGAATTAGACATGGTTGGAGAATTTCTCTTGCTTTTTAGGATTTTTTCTATGGAAAAATCTCAATACTATGTAATATTTAAAAAAAGAACAGAAAAAATCATATCTTAAATCTGTACAATTTTTTGAGGAATTTGAGTAATTACTTCAATAGTAATTCAGGCATATTTTAATACAAAGAAATCGGTATACATTGCAACTACTATGCTACGTATTGATATGGTATTGAAGTTGGAGTATATCGCCTCACGTTTTGGTATAGCCTCCATATAATGGAACCTTCTATTCAGAATCGTGAGCAAGTCTTTCAACCGAATCGGCAGTAATATATTTGGGGTTCTGAGCGACTAGGAAATCTTCCTACAATACAGTATAAATATTGGCCTAATTTTTAGGATTTTTCCGATTAAGAAAAAACTTTGCACAGAGTACTGAGTTAGGACTAGATTGATACGTGCCAAGTTTTTGAAATCGGTTCAGATTTAGATATAGCTCCCATATATAGTTTCGTCCGATTGTATTTAAATGGAACACCATACGGCCAATATTTGTCCAATTGAGACTAAATTTTGCAAAGAGTATTGAATTAGGTCTAGATTGATGTATACTAAGTTTGGTTGAAATCGAATCGGATATAGCATCCATATATATATAGCTCCCATATATAGTTTCGTCCGATTTTAGGTAAATGGTGCACCAAACTCCCAATTGAGACAAAATTTTGCACAGAGTATTGAATTAGGTGCAGACTGATATCTGCGAAGTTTTGTTAAAATCAGTTCAAATTTAGACATAGCTCCCATATATAGTTTCGTCCGATTTTTTGTGAATGATACACCAAACTCCCAATATTTTTCCGATTAAGACACAATTTTGCACAGAGTACTGCATTAGATCCAGACTGATGTCTGCGAAGTTTTTATACCCTTCACCACACTGTGGTACAGGGTATTATGTCTTTGTGCATATGTTTGTAACAGCCAAAAGGAATCGAGACAGATCCATGGTTCCTTTTGAGAATATGCATAGAATCACTTTCTGAGTCGATTTACGCATGTACGTCCGTCTGTCCGTCCGTCCATGTATTTTGTGATGAAATGGTGCACCAAAGACCCTATATATCTTTCGATTTGCACGACATTTGGCACAGCGTAATAAATTAGGTCTAGAATGATGTGTGTTAAGTTTCCTGAAAATCGGTTCATATTAGGTATAGCTCCCATATATATGTTCGTCCGATTTAATGTAAATGGTGCACCTAAGTCTCTGTGTATCCTTCGATTTGAACGAAATTTGGCACAGCGTAATGAATTAGGTATAGAATGATGTGTATTAAGTTTCCTAAACATCGGTTCAGATTTAGATATAGCTCCCTTATATAGTTTCGTCCTATTTAATGTATATGGTGCACCAAAGAACCTATATATCTTTCGATTTGCATGAAATTTGGCATAGCGTAATAAATTAGGTCTAGAATGATATGTGTTAAGTTTCCTGAAAATCGGTTCAGATTTAGATATAGCTCCCATATATATGTTCGTCCGATTTAATGTAAATGGTGCACCTAAGTCTCTATATATCCTTCGATTTGCACGAAATTTGGCACAGCGTAATGAATTAGGTCTAGAATGATGAGTAGTCAGTTTTGGGAAAATCGGTTCAGATTTAGATATAGTTCCCATATATATTTTCGTCCAAATAAGGTAAATCGTTTACCAAAACCCCTTAATATCTTCCGATTTGCACAAAATTTGGCACAGCGTAATGAATTAGGTCTAGAATGATGTGTGTTAAGTTTCCTGAAAATCGGTTCAGATTTAGATATAGCTTCTATATCTGACCAAAATGAAAAATTTAGTATCAATTGTAGAATGACATGTTTATGGATCCAATTTCATTTTACTGGTCATTTAAAAATGCGACGTCTGTTTGGATTCATCTGTTGAATATACCCAAAGTGGTAAAGGGTATCATATAGTCGGCCCGTCCGACTTTACTACTTTCCTTACTGTTTTTTTTAAATCGGTTCAGATTTATATATAGCTCCCATATATAGTTTGGTCAGATTTTTTGTAAATGATTCACCAAACTACCAATATTTGTCTGATTGAGTAAAATTTTGCATAGCGAATGCTATTGAAAAAAAACATGATGCATGATAAGGTTCGTTGAAATCGGTTCAGATTTTAAAATAGGTCTTAAATATATTATCGTTCGATTTTATGTACATGATGGTTACACGAAATTTGGCAGAGGGTATTAAATTGAATATAATGATTACAAAAAACAAATGGTGTATGCAACGGTTACTCAATTTGGTCCATATGTTTATATATAGCTTCCATACATAATTTGACTCGATTCCATACAAATGGTACACCAAAGAACCCAAGTCTGTCCGTTTGACATGCAATTTTTCAATGATTTGAGAATGGCATGTGTATGGAGTTTTCCAATTGATTCAAATATCTATCTAGATAGCACATTTAATTTCGCCCGATTTCATCTCAATGGTGCTCCAAAGATTCTATGACCGTTCTATCTACAGGATATTGTAGATAATAACATGTCATGCATGTACCCAAAGTGGTGAAGCGTATCATATGGTCGGCTC